TAGAAGAACTTGATTTGTTCGCTGATTCCCAAAAGATCAACTTAGCGACAAAGATCGATCGGAAGAAATGACACGTCATTCATGAAAATGGTCTAGGCGTACAAAAATCAGTATCAAGCGTTTCTCGACGTTGACTAGAGGTATGGAAGAAAAATACGCCTAGACGCTTCATGGGGATCCATGGGGATCCATGGGGATCCACGGGGATCCATGAGGATCCATGGGGATCCACGGGGATCCATGAGGATCCATGGGGATCCACGGGGATCCATGAGGATCCATGGGGATCCACGGGGATCCACGGGGATCCACGGGGATCCACGGGGATCCACGGGGAGCCGAGGAGCTCAGGATCTGCTTTTTCCGCCTTGATCGACATCAACAAGATTCGACAGCTTCTGAAGCACACTCGTCTAGTCTTCTCAATCTTTTGCGCCTTTTCGATTCTGATCGGTTCTCTCAATAGACGGCGACCTACGCAGACTGATCGACTAACGCCGTTTCTGTGCCAGAGACATCTTAGATCTAATAGACCACGGGAATGAAACAGTTTTCTCTCTTGAGGATAGTAGTTACTTGTCGGCATTCGAAAATTAAAATCGCGTTCAATGCTTGGTAAAGATCGAATTTTTGTGCAAAAACCAGCGAATCTTGCGACCGCGATAACTTCGGCAAACGGGATCGCCCCGAGAAACCCGACATACCAGCGCGTAGCGCAGATCCTCCTCTCTCGTTCTCTATGTGTCCTCTCTTCGGGAAATCCGGAAAGGTACACATTTTCTGTCAGAGACTGGTGAGCACTTTGCACACTGTCCAAATCGGTGCCCATGAGTGCACTCGCTCGTTAAACCTCGCAGATCATCCGGAGACTCGAAAGACATGTTTTTTCGGATTCTCCGTGAAAAACTGAGTCTAGAGAAGGCCACGCGACCAATACCGTACCGATCACCATCGCAGAAATGGCGATGGAAGCGAAATACCAGAAAATCACCTCCTTTGTTGTCAAAGAGAAAAGCACGAAAAGTCGGCGTGTGGCGACCATAGACGCCATGAGTTTGTACGAAAACAAACTAGCCCTCGCTGATCAGCTCATCGAGCTCTACAAACCCCGAAGTTTTCAGCTTGATAGCGAAACCTTCATGTAAACGTGGGAGAAACCCCATGGAAATGCCCACTTGCCACTTGATAAATTATTGTGGCAAAGTACTCATGAAAAACAAAGACAAATCGGGTTTCGTGGTTGTTTGTATCAGTCTCAAAACATCAACGAGAAGAGGAATGAATGCACTAGAAGCTGCTGTAATAGTTGTCTTTTTCAAAGTAAATTAGAACAAAGGAACGCAAAATAGGTCAATGTATCGTAAAAATGGTTTAGAAAACGTCTGAAATATGTCATAAAATTTGGACGAACTGTTGATATAAAGTCCGTCGTTGTTTACCAGTCTTATACTGTTAGGTGAAGTTTATTTCATTAAGATAAGAATACAAAAATAATTTTCACATTTTCAGATAATATCGCAATCTTCTGTTGTTCTTCTAAACATTATATAAACAGAAAGAATTCTGGTCTCATAAAAGTCTCAATTTCCCTCGATTCAAGCATCTTTTGCAGTACAGTATGTCATTCAAAGCCATACACAGTGAGTAGAGCATGAAGGATATAAACTCATTTTTACTGCAGTTGAGAACAGCAAACTTTTCTATGAAGCACTATTTAATAGTTGAGAAAGCCGTAGTTCTAGTGAAGACAGTTATTGAGCGTTCTAGAGGCATCAGAGCTGCGCATGGAATCTCTTTCTTATTACGTTTCTCAAATCTTCATTTATATGACAGATGATCGATGACGATCATATTACTGTGATTCCAACTTTTTCACTGCTTAAGTATATTTATTGATCAAGCAACAGCTTCAAAGATTTCTATGTACAAACGCTAGAAGGATAGGTCTGTTGCGTCAAACTCACCCGTTTTCGTCACCGAAGCATGAAGTTCAGTTTTTCTTCTTTTGAATAATTTTATAGTAACATCCATTCTGATGTTAACATTTATGATTGTTGGATCAAAGAAGCTTGAAAAACATGCGATCCCCACAACAATACTGACCAAAACTCCACAATCAGGTAAATCATCACCGACTCTCTCAGTTCTTAGCCAATATTACTTGAAAATCGGGTTCGTCTATTGATCGATAGAGCATCTGTTTTCAGAAGCTAAATGTCAAGAGCCGTTTGGTTCATGCCATACTTATGATACTGGTTTTACCCCACTGTCTGTGATATCAGGTGATTTCAATAATGATACCAAACCTGATCTAGTCGTGGCAAATTCGGCCGAAAATACGATAAGTATTCTATCGGGTGAGGGAGATGGAGCGTTTCCTAATCAAACCAAGTATGAAGTTGGGATTAGTCCATACGGTGTCGCAGTGGGTGATTTCAACATGGACACCAAACTGGATTTAGTAGCATCTAATAAAGGTGATAAAAGTATCAGTGTCCTGCTTGGTAATGGAGATGGAACGTTTCACAGTCAACGAAAGTACGAGGTTGGTAGTGATCCCTCGTCGGTGGCAGTAGGTGATTTCAACAACGATAATCGATTAGATTTAGTAGTGACGAACGAAGGTAATAGTAGCATCACTATTCTGCTTGGTTATGAAGATGGTACGTTTCATAATCAAACCGAATATCCAGTTGGTGACCATCCATGCTTCTCGGCAGTTAGTGATTTCAACAACGATCAGAAATTAGATCTCGCAATAGTGAACTACAATGATCATACTGTCAGTATTCTTCTTGGTAACGGAGACGGGACATTTCAGAACCATATAGAGTATGTCGTTGGTATCAATCCAGCCTTCGTTGCAGCAGCTGAGTTCAATAATGATAGCAAGTTAGATATCGTAGTGGCAAACTACGATGATGTCAGCGTCAGTATTCTACTTGGTAATGGTGATGGGACATTTCAACATGAACTAAAATATTTAGTTGGTGGTGGTCAATTGTCGGTAGGAATAGATGACTTCAACCAGGACTCTGATTTGGATCTGGCAGTGGCCAATTACGGCGGCTCCACCGTCGCGATTTTATTTGGTAACGGCGATGGCACATTTGAAAGCCCTGTGCACTATTACTGCGATGCTTACCCTAATTCTATAGCAGTAGGTGATTTCAACTTCGATAATCAACCCGACCTAGCGGTTGCCAATACATTTGCCAACGACGTCGGTGTCTTGCTCGGAAACGGGGATGGAACGTTTGGGCATCAGACAAGGTTTTCGGTTGGTGATCTGCCCAGCGTTGTAACAGTAGGTGATTTCAATCATGATAGCAAACTGGATCTGGTAGTAGGCAATTTGTTTGATACTAGCGTCAGCATTCTGCTAGGCAACGGTAATGGTACGTTCCAAAATCAAACAAAGTTACCAGTTGGTTACGAAACGACGGCTGTGGTAGTAGCCGATTTTGATAATGATAGCAAAGACGATTTGAGAGTCTTTAACAAAGGTGATAGTAATGTCAGTATTCTTCTTGGTAATGGCAATGGGACATTCAAGAATCAAACAACATATGGAGTTGGTTATTATCCATACTCTATGGCAGCAGGTGATTTCAATAATGATGATAAACTGGATCTTGTAGTAGCCAATAACTTGGACGTCAATGTTGGTATTCTGCTCGGTAATGGTGATGGAACATTTCAGAATCAACAAGTGCATCCCATTGCTCGTGGTGCATTTTTTGTGGCGGTGGGTGATTTCAACAACGATAACAACCTGGATCTGGCTGTGGCCAACGACTACTACGCTTGGACCATCAGCATCCTGCTTGGAAATGGCAATGGAACCTTTCAAAACGAAACCAATTATGTAGTTGGTAATACTCCGTTCGGTATTGCCATAGATGATTTCAATAATGATTCGAAACTGGACTTAGCAGTCGCCAACGATGCTGACAATAGTGTTAGTGTTCTGCTCGGTAATGGGGATGGAACCTTCCAGAATCAAACCAAGTATTCAGCTGGTAATGGTCCAAATTGGGTGACAGCAGCTGATTACAACACTGATGGCAAACTGGATTTAGCAGTAGCCGATTACCGTGGTAACAGCGTAAGTATTCTCCTTGGCCATGGAAACGGGACATTTCAAGACGAGAAGACGTATGCATCTGGCAATGCCCCAAAGTGTATCGCAATAGGTGATTTCAACAACGATAACAAACTGGATCTAGCAGTTGCCAACTCTGACGAGAGCAGCGACAGGACTCAACACGGTTTAACACTAACTGGGAAAGGTGACATCGCTATTTTCATGAACTCATGTCCATGATTTTGGGTTAGTAAGACATTTTTTGCGTTTTTCTCGAAAATTTTGTTTTTATTTTTCAACTTCAAGAACACTACTACTTTTCAACAATGTATGCTCCATTACTGTCTATGACTTGTCGCCAACGCTCTGGTAGAGAAAGGATCCCGCCTTCGTAGAAGTCTTGAGACTTTTAGTCGAAGAAGTTCTCAAGATCCGTTTTGAGAGGTGTGCCGTCGTTAGACCGAAAGAACAATGACCGAACGGACTAATATCGAAAGGAAGAAGGTGGAAATAGTCGACAAGAAAAATGACGAAGGGAATAAGGTCGACGAGGAGAAACGTCGAGAGGTTAATTGAAGAAGATGCTCTTTATTCATCGTGTGACAATATCATAGTCGAGATTAAGAGACGATCCACCACAGTACCGACCATACCCGGCACCTGTCGAATCTCAGATTCTTTCCATTATATGCTAGATCGATAGAGCATCTAAAGAAACCTAGAAACCCAAAATATCTCGTTTTCAAAATGCTCCTTCGAGGAGATCAAGGCCGAAGAACTAC